ACATTTTGGCATACCTCAGAAAAATTTATGTGTATATGTATGTATGTAAGAATACAATTTGTCAGTCACGTTTTCGGGCGCACGGATCAACCGATTCGAATGGTTTAAACAACATTCGATTCCTATTGATAGGGAGATGTGCTGATTAGTTTTTGGCAAAGGCAGGTCCAGCCGTTACGGAAATACGGAGCAAAGAGTGCGGAAAATATAAATCAAGTTGTTTGAATTCTTAATGATTGGGAGAAGAGGTGATTAGTTTTTGGCAAAGACAGGTTCCGTCATTTCGAAGATACAGAGCTAAATGTGCAAAAAATGGCAGTTTTTGAGTGAACTAAGCGTCTGATTTGAATGATCTAAAAACTTTCTGCTTGTATTGACAAAACAATTGCTTTTGAGGATAAACTAGTGGGGCGCATGGCATCGTGCCTTAAGGCAAATTGCTGGGACTTCCCGTACCAAAAATTATTATTTTTTTAAAAAGATTAACATTGTTGAAAAAAATTGACTTCGAACAAATTAGATTTTTGAGAAACTATAAATTTGACAAAAAATTACTTTTTTTTGAAAAAAAATTTTTTTTTGATTTATTTTGGAAATTTTTATTTCTTCATTTTGACATATTTTGGAAATTCTGAACTTTTTTTCAAAGCAATCGTACTGCTTTAACTGCATAAAGACAAAATGTCAAAGCGCGTAAGCGCCGCGTCGCCGTCTAACAGATAAATATTGGTACGGAACCCATAGGAATGTAAACAAAATTTATACTTATTATTAAAATCTCTGTAAAATATCTGATAATTTGATGTGCATATGTCTAATGATCATTTTTGACCGCCAAATGGCAATTTTTTTTACTTTTTTCACTAGATCTCCGAAACCGCTAGACCTGCCTTCATGAAAGTTTGATCAATTCTTCATCTTGTCAATACAAGTAAAATGTTTTTTGAATTATTAAAATCTGAAGCTCTGTTCTGTTAAAAACCTAGTTACCATTTTTAGCACTTTTTGCTCCGTATCATCGTCTCCTTATCAATACGAATCGAATGTCTTTTGAATTATTCAAATCGCTTCATCCGTCCCGAAATCGTCGACGAAAATTTGTATCCGCACATACATACATACACGCGCACACACACACATACACACACACACTTACACACGCACATACATCCATTTTTTCTAAGGTATGTCAAAAAGTTCAGAAGGTTGCGATTACTATAACTTGCCCTACAGGAAGTTAAAAATTATTACATCTTTTTTTATTTTTCATAAAATATTTTTGTAATTTTGGATTGAAAATTCAAAAAATCACCCAGGCTAAGCACAGTCTAAGCGCCACTCTAGTACAAAAGTTTATCCAAGTGCGTTTAGACTGTTTTTGTATTGGAGCACTTTTTCAATTTTATGAAAACTATTGAAAAATGTGAAAATGCCGCCAAGCTAGGCACAGTATAAGTGCAAATGTCGCACAGAATTGTTTGCAAATGCGTTTAGACTGTAACTATACGGGAGCACTTTTTCAATTTCGTGAAAATTAGGCAACATTTTTTTTTTGAAATTGAATTCGAAATGAAATGACGATTGTTGTTAATGTTCTGGAGATAAATTGATTTATGATTTACATTTGATTTGCTCAGATATAACAAGATAGCACTATAATAATGAAAGTTACAGTAGTTGTAATAATATATTTGATAACGTTTAAAATTTCTCGAATATTTCATTACGGTACGGGAAGTTTCAGCAATTTGCCTTAAGGCACGATGCCATACACCACTAGTTGTGTTTTATTTTTTAGGCATAGTGAACCATCAAGTGGACGCGACTCGAGTTCGTTCTACGCCTTTGGTTCAAGATTTCCACCTCATCCAGCTTTACAAAGAATTGATTCGAGCGAAGAATTGTCTTCGTCGAATTTTTGGAGGTCCTGCTCTTGGAGCAGGTTCAGTTTGGAATGGACAACAGTCGCAGCAGCAACTTCTTCTTGGATCAGTTGATGATCTTCAACGAAAATCGGTTGCTAGGCGAAGGAAAGGTGATGCTTGGACTGTTGATAGGAGCTGGGAGTTTGTAGGTAAGAAAATACACATAAAATTACTCTAATTTTTAACTTCCCGAAGGAGAAGTTTATGTTATCAATAAAAAATCCGACTCGCTAATTTTATGTTTTCTCGACGTTTTAAGCAATTCTGAATCGAATGAGACCAAATTTGGAAAAAAGTATGTGTGTGTGTGAACAGATTTTTTGCCGTGAATCGACGTTTTCTCCAAAACGGTTGGACCGATTTCAAAAATTTAAAAGTCATTCGATGTATTTCAATGAGGACTAGCGTTTATCAACTTTGCGGGACGATCAGCCAAGCCTTCTTTGTAAATAGCAGAAAATAGAAAATTTTTTTGTCTACGTTTTCGCCCGCAGTTCGTAATCAATTTTGAAAATTCAAAAACCGTTCGGAAGATATTGGTTGGGAATCGTGCTGATTAGTTTTTGGTAGAGATCGGCCGGGTCATTTTCTTGTAATAAGGTGTTAAAAAAAATTTTTTCGTTCGATTTTTATTATTATTTTTTTGACGGTAGATACCATAGTCTTCTAGATCATACTAAAATATTACGGCCCTACGACAACTCGTTTAGCTTTAAAAATTCTTCAAAGTTTGCGAAAATTAGTATGGTCTTTTTGACATTTGTCAAAATTAGAACTTTCATCGAGGTTTGCTCAAAAACGCCTGAATAGATTTTAGAAATTTAAAAGCCATTTGATGTATCTCAATGAGGACTATCGTTTGTCAGTTTTGTGAGACGATCTGCCAAACCGTTTCTTTGTAATTTGAAGAAAAGTGTTAAACCTTTCGTCCACATTTAAGCTCAAACCACCGAATCGATTTTAAAAAATCTGTTCGTAAGATATTAGTTGGGAATGATACTGATTAGTTTTAGGTCAAAATCTACCGAGCCGTTTTCTTGTAATTAACTGTTGAAAAAAAAATTTAAGCCGATTTTTATGAAACTTTTTTGGCGGTATATATCATGGTCTTGTAGAACTTACTGAAATATTACGGCCTTACGACAAGTAGTTTAATTTTAAAAATTCCTCAAAGTTTGAGAAAATGAGTAGTTTTTTTGACAATTGTTAAAATTAAAATTAGACGATTTACTTGTTATAACGATAGAGTACTTAGTCTTAATAAACATTAAACCTTTAAAGTCCTACGGAAACTGGTTCAAATATAAAAATTGTTGATTTTTGAAAATTAGCTTTTAAAAATACTCCGAGTTAACATGTTCGTTCGTTTTCAATTATGTGTAATAAATCCACTCGGAATACATTTAATCACTCATAAATTAATTTATTTTTTATTAAGTCGATTAATTACGCATATCGGGAAGTTCGTGTAACTTGCCTCAAGGCAAAATACCAATATCAACTAGTTTGGTAATACTCTAAGAGCAATTTTTTTTTAGCTCGAGGTGATCTCGAACAAGAAACTCCTTTCGACATGCCAATTACTGGCAATGAAGCCGACTGGTCGAGAATAGGGTTTCCATCAGATCTACATAATGAAGATGATTTGATAGATCCTCCTTCTGGGCCTAAAATAACAATCCGAGAGGTAATATATATATCAATAATTATGGTTTTATCTTTTACTAGATGACCCGACACACGTTGCCCTGTACTTATGTTTACAATTCAAAAGTTTCAATTTTTTTATAATAACCTATACTAATATTTACCAATTAGTTAAAAATTATTGTTTTTTTACACTAAAGTTTATATCGAAATGTGTATACATCTACCCATATTATGGATCTTGAATGTACAACTGCTTTAAATAAAATGATGAGTATTTGCTTTTTTGAAAAGCATTATAAAACATTTGTTTCTTATAATTAGTTCTTTTATCGATATCCGACGTTATTTGAAAAAAAAATGAAATTACACCACTGAGAGGAATGTTATCCCCCCGGGAAATGGCAAAGGAGTCTAAATTATTTTTGAGAGTAAGATAAACCTAATTTCAAAATTTCATACAAATTGGAGCACAGTAAAAAAATTCAGACCCAAAACGCTCCATTGACTTGAGTAAATATTCAGTATCCGATGGCAAAAATATGAAAATACTAACGTTTGTATGTGAAAAAGAAAAGGGCTGTTTTTAGGGTTTTCCCGGCAATTATTCGATTTATTCTCGCCGTAACATCCATGGACTTCAACGAACATTTTAAAAAAAGAATTAGCCAAATTGGTCTAAGCGTTATTGAGTTTTGTGCTTACCAACACATTTTGCAATTCATTTTTATATTATAGATTAATTTTGTGTTATTTCTGCAGATGATTGCAAAACGATTACCCGATCTCGGTTTACCAGAACCTACAATCACAAGTTGCAATAGTTCTGAGCAAACCAGTAGAATGTCTGCCTACGATAATGTGGAAGGACGAATTACTTCAGGTATTCTAAAACTTTGATAATTTAAAATGTTTTTTTAACTTCCCGTAGGGCAAGTTATAGTAATCGCAAAAAAATCGAAAATGAAATTTTTTACATATCTTTACGTTTCAAAGGTTTCTGAACATTTTGGCATACCTTAGAAAAAATGGATGTATGTGTGTGTGTGTGTGTGTGTGTGTGTGTATGTATGTATGTATGTGCGTGTGTGTATGTATGTGCGGATACAAATTTTCGTCGACGATTTCGGGAACACGGATCAACCGATTTGAATAATTCAAAAAACATTCGATTCGTATTGATAAGGAGACGTGCTGATTAGTTTTTGGCGAAGGCAGGTCTAGCCGTTCCGAAGATACGGGGCAAAAAGTGCCGAAAACGGTAACTCAGTTTTTAAGAGAACGGAGCGTCCGATTTGAATAATTCAAAAAACATTTCACTTGTATTGACAAGATGAAGAATCGATAAAATTTTCATGAAGGTAGGTCTAGCGGTTTCGGAGATATGGAGAAAAAAGTAAAAAAATGATCCATTTGGCGGTCAAAAATGATCATTAGACATACGCACATCAAATTATCAGACATTTTATAGAGATTTTAACAATAAGTATACATTTTGTTAACATTTCTATGGGTTCCGTACCAATGCTTATGCGCTAGACAGCGACGCGGCGCTTACGCGCTTTATATTTGTGTCCTATGCAGTTAAAGCAGTACGATTGCTTTGAAAAAAAGTTCAGATCTTCTACAATATGTCAAAATAAAGAAAAAAATTTTTTTTTCAAAAAAAAAAATTAAAAAAAAATGTTTTTTAAAAAAAAAATTTTTTTTTCAAAAAAAGTTATTTTTTGTCCAATTTATAGTTTCTCAAAAATCTTATTCTTTCAAAGTAATTTTTTTCAAAAATGTTAATTGTTTTTAAAAAAATTATAATGGTTTTTAAAAAATTATAATTTTTGGTACGGGAAGTTCCAGCAATTTGCCTTAAGGCACGATGCCTTAATTGCCTTAAGACAGAATTCCACTTACAGCTAGTTGAGAATCCTGTGATTAACTTGGTATTTTCTATTTTTTAGGTCCACTATCGTCTCGAGAAAGTGACGACGGCACTGTCTTCTCCGAGCCTTGGGATTGTTCGAGATGGCAAGGATTATTATTGGCGAATAACAATAATAATATTGATTCAGAATCAACAACGACAAATGGTCAACAGCAGTCTGTTCAGAAAAGACATGCTACCATTGGTAGAAATAATAGACCTCCTACGTTGGAGAGGCCTTGTGCTATGTATGGTAAGTCGAAATAATTTTTTTTGTATATATATATATATATATATATATATATATATATATAAGAAATTTTGCTCATATATATATTTATATATATATATATAAGAAATTTTATAAATGTTTTTTTTAACATGAGTGAAACATATGAGAAATTTATTATGATTTTTTTTTTCTTATTTTTCAACCAACTATTTATGTCGCAAAGGGATAAAATATCATTCTGCTTACTTGTTGCTTTCATTGTCATTTGTATGAAACAACCTTCCGCAAAACGTCTCCTGAATTATTTTTTTAATATGCAGAGTACACTGATTACAAAGACTATATTATTTTTTAATGTGTGTATGTGTTCTGTCAGCATAGTTTTAAATTGTTTAGGATTTTTTTCACGTTGTTGAATTAGTTTTATTGAATTTTGTCTAGTTCCACCAATGTACATTAAATCGCAATTTTAGCAGTTAATTTAATAGACCAGATTTTTAAATCTTTCGATTTTGAGGAAGTTTTATGAGTTCTCTATTATGAACAGTTTGTATCACGAAAGAATGCAGTATCATTACGTTTATTTTTTTTTATTATTATATAGTTGAATGAAACACTCTTCTGCAAAACGTCATCTAAATAAATGTTTGTCCGAATAGTCAGGTTGAAAATGTCTATACTCTGTTTTGACGTTTTTATGTGTTCTGAAAGCATAGTTTTAAATTGTTCAGGATTTTTGGAATTGTTTTTGTGTTACTGAAGTCGTTTTAATAAATTTTGGCTAATTTCACCAATGTGTATTAAATCACAGTATGAGCAGTTAATTTAATAGACCAGATGTCTAAGGCAATCGATTTTGAAAAAAGTTTTATAAGAACAATCTTTCTCTATTATGAACAGTTTGTATCACGAAAGGATATCTTTGCGTTTATTTTTTTTATTATATAGTTGAATGAAACACTCTTTTGCAAAACGTCTTCTAAATCAATTTTTGTCTCAAGAGTCAGGTTAAATGTGTTTATATTGTGTTTTCACGTGTGTGTGTGTTCTGTTAGCATAGTTTTAAATTGTTTAGGATTTTTTTTATTTTTTCTACGTTGTTGAATTGGTTTTATTAAATTTTGTCTACTTTTACCAATCATACCTCACAATCTGAGCAGTAAATTTAATAGATCAGATTTTTAAAACTTTCGATTTAGAAACAAAGTTTCACAAGAACAAGGATTCTCTATTATCTGCGTATGAAATATTGCGTATGAAATATTGCGTTACTTTTTCATTTTATAATTGAATGAAATAACCTTCAGCAAAACGTCTTCTGAATATTTTTTCTTTAATTGGAAGAATAGTTGTGTTAAAGAAGTCTATATGTTGTATTTTGAGGTTTGTGAGCATTCTGTCGATTTTTGGAGTCGATTTCTCGAATTTCTTCGAATTGTTTTTGTGTTGCAGTTAATTTAATACACCAGATTTTGAAGGCTTTCGATTTTGAAAGAATTTGTACAAGAAGAATATATTTCTATTAATATCTCTGTATGAAATATTGCGTTTATTTATTACTCTTTCATTTTATAGTTGAATGAAACAACCTTCAGCAAAACGTCTTCTGAATGAATTTTCTTCAATATGAGGGATATTCGTGTTAAAAATTATGCATCGCGTTTGAATTTTTCGGTTTTTTGGAATTGTGTTTGTGTTACTGAAGTCGTTTTGTTATATTTTGTTAGTTACACCGATATATATTAAATCACAATCTGAGCAGTTAATTTGATAGAACAGATTTCTAAAGCTTTCGATTTTGAAGAAGTTTTATAAGAACAATCTTTCTCTATTATCTCTGTATGAAATATTGCGTTTATTTATTACTTTTTCATTTTATAGTTGAATGAAACAACCTTCAGCAAAACGTCTTTAATTTAGAATAATTTTTCTTCAATATGAAAGATCGTCATATTAAAGAAGTCTATATTGTGTTTTGATGTATGTAAGCATTCAGTCGATTTTTGGGGATTTTTGGAATAGTTTTTGTGTTGCAGTTAATTTAATGCACCAGATTTTTAAGGTTTGCGATTTTGAAAGAATTTGTACAAGAACAATATATTTATATTAATATCTTTACATGAAATATTTCGTTTATTTGTTTCTTTTTGGTTCTATAGTTAACATTCAGCAAAATGTCTTCTGAATGAATTTTCTTCGATTCATGTTAAAAAGTATGCATCATGTTTGGATATTTCGGATTTTTAGAATTATTTGTGTTACTGAAGTCGTTTTTTTTTAATTTTGGCTAGTTTCACCGATGTATATTAAATCACAGTCTGAGCACAATTTAATAGATTTGATGGAGCAAATTTGTAAGGCGTTCGATATTGAATTTTTTTTTAAATTTTTTAAGTAGCAAATAAGTATTACTTCAATCGCGTGTGAACCTTACGCGCACTCTTTTTTCTGAACCAAAACATCATCGTTCATTTATCGAACCCTGATTAAATTAATTCTTATACGCATTAACAGAGATCCATGAAACAATTTCATATCTCGAATTTCGAATTGATTTCTATGTATGTGCAATATAAATAATGATGTATAGATCGACTTTTGTTTATTTACCATAGACAATACACATATGAGAATAACGTAATCTATTGAATTGTTAATATTGTTTGCAATTGATATTGATATAGACAATAAGTGAACGGCGACAACTAACTGCGTTTTAACCTATGGCCTTCTTATTTGACCACTTCTGCATTTTTCTGGTAAATCGAATAGTTGTAAAAGTTCTAAGGGTTTGGTAATAAAAGATACAAAATTTCATTTAGATTAATTTTATATCAAATTTACAACATTTGTCTAGAGGTAGCAGGTTGACCAAGTGTTTAATGGAATGTAAGCTAATTTTGTATATTCATTTCGTAAGATGTTTTGGTAAAAGTACTTTTTAAAAAAATGTATTGTAAATATTTGTTCCAGTGCCAACCAGTTCAGAAAATAATCAATATAATGTAATCTAATTCTGAATAAGTATTTGGATAAGATTTGATCACAACTGTATTTTTCTGGAAAATAGAGGTTTTATTAGAGATTTAAGGGCCTGAAAAAAAGTACTTCGTTTTTTAAATAAAAAATTATTTTATTTGCTATAATACTTAAATCTGGATTAGTTGCACTAATTATTTATCTTTAGATTTTGATTACAAGGTTCTGATCTAATTTTGGAAAAGTATTTGTATAATCATTCTTATTTGATCACTCCTCTATTTTTCTGGAAAAATGGAGTGTTTGCAAAAGTTCTTAGGATTTAGCATGAAAAGATAATAAACTTTAATTCAGGTTAAATTTCAATTTGTGTATAGTTTGTTGGACAAAATTTTATCAATTTTGCATTTTTCTGGTGAATTGAGTAAAGTTGAGTAAATTATAAAGAAATTAAGGTGCACAACTAGTGTAACCGCCTAAAAAAAGGTGATTTTTGGGAATTTATATTAATAAAAATACTCTATCAATCATTTCAAAATTTTAAGAATATATTTACACATGTTTTCAGAATAGATAGTAAAATTTTTGAAGAAAAAAATTAAATATTTTTTAACTTATCGTCGATCTCCAACGGCGCGAAAAAAAAGGCCCTTAACTGCTGCAGTGATTCCGGCCTTCTACGTGGATGAAATAAAAAAAAAATCTTGTTAAACTAGATAATGTTGTCTGCAAAATAAACTACGATAAAAAAAATCAAAAATTGACAAAATGGCGGCGTTTAAAAAAGTCGAATTTTACCCAAAATTTTGGTCGTTTTTGGACTGCCAAATTCGATTTTTGATCCGATCAAAAAATCGATAGTTCATTTTACGGAGAACTATATATAGAACATGTAAAAAAAATTTGAAAGTGATCGGATCATTTGTTTTTGAGTAATCGCTGCAGCAAATTTGGAAAATGCTGTTTCGAGAAAAACGCGTTTAAAGATAAAATGATCGTTATACTATGTGTACTATATATATACTTAAGGTATCGATTTAAAATTTTGGTATGTTATTTTTAAAGATATAACCTATCGAAATATGGAAAAATTGAAAATTCGATTTTTTGAAAATTTCTCACTAGTTGTGCCCCTTAAGAATGCAAACATAACTAAAAATTAAATTTAAATTTTAACTAAAATGATGATCAATAGTAAATGCAAGTGTAAGCTAATTTTAAATGTATGTATTTATTAAAGTTTTGAGGGTTAGTATTTCAAAATCTTTGAATTTTATATAATACTTTAACAACTACTTTCTAAGGATCATTTTGGTAAAAAATTAAAATGAGGTGGTCCAATTTTGCCAAAGTATTATTCTATCTAATTCAATTTCTTCTGAATTTATGTGGAGTATTTATAAAAGATTAATAATAGTTAACCTAGCTTAAATAAAATATCTAAACTTCAAGTGCATCAAATTGTGCTTTAGGGAAACCTTAGAAATCCCTAAAAACCAATTTCATTTCATTTCAACTTCAGACAATGTCCTTTAATTTGGTTTATGACAATTACGATCAATACTAATGCTTCTTTTCGCCTTGACATTGAGTTCTTTATACGGACACCCTGTATAAAAAGTTTATTGCCTAATATGAGTAATAAATAATAAAAATTATTCAGTTTTCAAATATGAATCAGCTTTATTCTTTCTTAAGTAAAATTAGCGTTTGTTACATTCATTATTGAACACAAGGCTCCAGGACCAATTTCCGCTTTATCCAACCCGATATCAAGCAGTATTAGTGATACAAGTTTTACTGAAAAATATAGTTTTAAGAAATATGATTTCAATTGCAAATAGCCTGTTAAGGCGAATTCACAATATGACCACGTTTATAAAGAAAAACCAAAAAATTGCTTTCTATATTAGCCTGTTAAAAAAGTAAAAAAATATATATAGAATTTCTAAAATTGAACTAAAGCAAGTAGAACATCAGAAAATAATGTCAACTAAATAAATATGGTTACTTCAGAATAATTTTGTACGCAAAACTCTTAAAAAATCCCAAGCAA